AAATGAAAATCCAGTAGTAGTAAGGACGATAATAGCAATATTCAGGTGATCCCTGTACAATAAACGATTCATCATTAAAAAACGGAACAGATCAACATCAACGGACAGTACTAAAATCCGTATTTACGAGTAAAACTATTCATAACATCACCTCTAAATATCAATTAATATTATTGAAATAACTTCATTTACAATTCTTTAAATTAAAATCTGGATTGAAAGACTATTATTATAAACATCAAATATGAATAAAACAATTCAAAAGAATATTTACTCATTATCAGTGTTATCTAGATTATGAATCGTTATGTTCACACCTCAGTGATAATAGCTAAATCATTGATCGCAATTAGAATTTAATAACAACAGATACTTTGCAGCTCTGATATCTATGCGTTGGTTGTAAACGAGGAAATAAGAATGCTGAAGAACGAAGGATGTACTGGTGTTTGTGATATCATCACTAATCGTTTAGATGAGAGACGACGCATCAGTGAATTCGCAATGGGCTGTAATTGTTACTTGTTCTGATTGAACGAATAAATAAAATAAATGAATAATATTCAATAAAGTCATAATAATATGAAAATATTGATTCGGCAATTCCTGAAGCGTTCGTTTTATCAGTGAACTGATAATTGTTTATCAATAAACTGATAACAATATTCAACTATTTGCTCAGCACTAGTATTACAATTACATCACAACAGCATGTGATGCAACGATGATGATGTTTCATTGTGTTATATTATAGAACATTTTCATCGAATTTGTCAATAACCAGTTCTGTGATTCCATTTTATGACCAATTTTTATGTGTTATTTTATTCATCGGTTGACAGGTACCATTCAATTCAAATTATTCATCATTTATTTAGTACAAAATAGACAAAAATAGTGGAGTTACTATCGATAAAACACATACAGTGAGTGACGTAAACAATGAAAAAAGAGATCAGATGCAACGAACACTAATTTCAAACGAAATAAAGAATAGAAGACGTGCAAAATCGATGAAAACGTGATGTTGGAAAACTTATGGAAAGGAACGTTCAACATGATCATAGACATATTTCAAGATTCCGTTACAATCGTTTATTTATTTGATATCAATTTGGAACCATCATTTGTTACTATCATTACTATCATTTATTTATGTTTTTTTTTTTGACCTCAAATCCAACTCATTACGAGTTTATACCTCTCTGTTATCACAAATATCATTAATATCACATTCTTCCTTCCTTGGCATTCTCCATTACTATCATTATCAGTACGATTATGACTATTGCACTCAGTGATAATAACCATCGCTGATATACTTTTCATTTAATTATTCTTCTTTTGTTCCTGGGTATTCATCACTGCTCCATTGTTATTGTTCGCATATGATGAAGTCAATGCTCTCAGTTTGCCAGCTGATAAATCTTTAGTGTTTGATAGCTGAGCCATATCCTTAATTATTATTCATATAAATATAAATAAATAAATAAATAAATAAATAAATAA